ACCCTGTCCTCTGTTGCAGCGTGTAGATACCCTCTATTGGTGTTCTGGTGGTGAGTTCCTCACTTGGTGGGGGTTAACTCCTAGCTGGCAACCGGCTACCCTGAGGTTAGGGTCTAACGGGACCATGATGACACTACAGAACCCTTTTTTTACCTGATCAAAAAAAAAATAAAAAATCATGGTCTCTCTTAATAAAACTTTGGGTCAAGAATAAAAATTTAAAAGGTAATTCTTAATGATATAAGTCAAAATCTCCGCATAATAAAATTTTGGATAAATTATCAATAGATATTAATAGTTAGATTTAATTCTTATTAAGTCTTATTGAAAATAAGTCTTGGTAAAATTGTTGCTAAAAATAATTTTTTGTGACAATTGTCGCTAAAAATTGACAATTAGTGACTTTTTTTTATCATGATTTTTATGAATTATCCCCAAAATTTACAATTAGTGACTTTTTTTTATAACAAAATTTTCTCATAAGACCTATTAGATAATAAGTTCATTTATTAGGACTTACATGTAAGTATCCCTAAAATTTTAATGTTTTAAGAATAAATTTAAAAAGTTTTTCTTAAAAAGTCCAACACATATCATTATTATAAAAATATTAAATTTTAAAACAATATAACTTTTGATGTAGATGTTGATTTTTCATAAAATTAGTATTTTTTAAATTCTCTCATCAAGATAAATGAGATCCATGTTGATTATAAAATTCTTTAAGTTTTTTTTTTATTATTGTCGAAATTAATGTAAACAGTAACAGTAACAGTAACATGTTAGTCTGTTTGACAATCACTTTGTTTGACAGTAACATGTTACTCTGGTAATATTATCTAAGAAAAAAAAAGATATTTTACTTTATCCTTATGCATTTTCTCACTAGGGAGTTTATGAAACAAAATAAATTAAGCTGTTCTTTTTCACTAAATAAGGATTCAATGGAGAGATTTTAACTAAATTTTTCTATATACGTAAGTTACCTTATAAAATTACGTAAGTTTTTACAAACATATATAAATTAATCAATAAAAAATTAAAAAAATCACAACTTACATATATTTATAGTAACTTATACAAATACATATAGTAGGCACTTTACACATCCCAACACTTCTCAAATTTAAGATAGTGTTTGGTAGGATTTTCTAAATATGATTTGAAAATTGGAGTTATAAGTTTGTGAGTTTTGCAATTATGATTTGAGTGTGAAAAATTTGTTTGGTGAATGAGTTTTGAAAAGAATTTTAAATTGAGTGGAGAATTTTTTATGTAGCATATGATATTTAACACAAAAACTTACAACTCATAACCAAACACACAACTTAAAATTCTATTCAAAACTCATAAAAATTTTAAAAAATTCAAAAAATATTTTTTATTGAATATATAAAAATTAACTTGCATCAAATGTAAAAAAAATATATAAATAAATAAATTTATTGTTCCGGTCAACCGACTAGACGACCGATGGTAAGACGTCCCGTGAGATGATCGGTTAATGTAAATTTTTTTACCTTGAACAAATTTTTAAAATTAAATGTGAAATTAACTTTTGAAAATTATAAACAAGTATTAAACACAAATAACAAGATAAAAATATATTTAAAAAATACAATCCCCAACACACACCGTCTCAATTTCAAAAAAGCGTTTTTTGATTGGCCCTACAAAATAAAACAAAATCTTTTATTATTGCCATGTAAAAGCGGTGCTCTCTCCATTATTCGTGGGCTCTTTTGGAGGGCCCCAATACTAACTGAAAGAAAAAGAAGAAAAAAGGCCAGTTATTTGAAGTGATTTGATTTTAAAGAGAAAATTGGCTCTCAAAAAAAGAAATAAATAAATAAAAGTAAATATTACGTGGTGGTTTCTTAGCAAGTAAGGAAGGGGTGTGGGATCCAATTAATGCTCTACACTTGGCGCTCTGTTACACCGGCGTACTTGCAATTGGCTAACTAATTAGACTAAGGTTTCCTTTGGGAAGCCATGGTTTGGGCTTTTTGATTATTTTAGTTATAAAAAATAAAATAAAATATTTTAGTCATAACAAACAAAACATTACATCCAATTCATAATCATTACATTCTTCTCTCACAAAAAAATTCAAAAAAGCCAAAAAGCCAAAAAACTCTTCCCAAACCAAGCTTTTAAGCCCAGGTTAAAATAGCTAAAAAATTCAAAAAGTCAAAAAACCAACCCACTTCCCAAACGGAGGCTAAGTAAATTGGGATAATTTGGAATGATCTAAATAAGTATATTTTTTAACTTTTTATGAAATATGAATTGAGTATAGGTTAGATTTGAAGTGATGTGATAGAGAAGTAATATGCCTTAAATAGGATGATGTGACTTAAATAGGATAATGATTTTTTAACTTTTTGACTTTTTTAGATTATGACAAACAAAGCCTAATTTTTTTAAAAAATTCAAAATATTCACTATGTTTGGTTTTAAGTTTTTAAAAATTGATTTTTTTATTTGTTGTTTTTCATATTTTTTTTTATTTTTAATGAATATTTTTAAAATTTTAAGCAATTTTTTTTAAAAAACTTTTTTAGATGCTTTTACTTAGATGCATCTAAAAAGTAAAATATTTATAAAAAATCAATAAATATACAAAAATACGAAAATATATTGAATTCTTGTAAATTTTTTTTATATATATTTTTTGTGTTTAGTAAATTTTTAGATACTCTTACCTAGATGTATTCCAAAAAGTAAAATATTTGTAAAAAATATTTAAAAAATCAATAAATATACAAGAATATGAAAAATATACTGAATTCTCATATTTTTTTGGTATTTTTGGTATTTAGTGAATTTTCTAAATATTTTTTTCACAAATATTATACTTTTTAAGTATATTTATGTTATGTGTATCTAAAAATTAAAAAAATTGCTTAGAATATTAAAAAAATCCAATGAAAATAAAAAAACACGAAAAATAAAAAATCTCAATTTTCTAAAAAGTAAATTCTAAAAAACCAAACCAAGCAAGTTGATTTATAGTAATTTACCCTTATTTTATTTTTTTTTGGCTAAAATAGTCAAAAGTCAAAAATCCAATCACACCAATCTCTCTATTTGTTTGGGTACATTTTTTCAAAAAAAAATTAAAAAACCAATTAAAATAGTCATTTCCCAAACATTCTCTAAGTTGCCAACATTTTTTTCTCCATACTTCATACCTACCATAAATAATTAAGTTTTTATTTTTTTTGGTTTTGGTATATATAAATGTGGGTTTTACAAACTTATAACAACGGAAATAAAGGTTACTACTATCTCGTCCCCTTTTTTTGATGATTTGAACTATTTATATTATAGGGTTCGTCGTGCAGATCATCTAATTGTGGCTCAAAATTTATGGAGACCTCTATATAAACATTAAAACGAGGTCTTATCTAAGTAATCTTTTTAAAGGTTGGGACTTTAAATGGAAAATGTTTGATAGCCCAAATTTTTGTGGTTCGAATGTGTTAAAACGACGTCGTTTTAAGTGTTTCGAGCCATGATTTTTCGGACCACCTATCGTTTTTGACTTTAAACAATAAGAATGCTTTTAAATTTTCTCGTCAATATTAGGTGATGGCCTAAGTAACTTAATGATTTAACCACCTCTGAGATCATCCATAAAAAAAAAAAAAAAAAAATCAAATTAATCAGACATCTATAACCACATCATAACATCACATTTGTGTTTTTAAAAAACGAACAACAAACGTGATTTTGATAATATATACTATCTATATATATATATTTATAAATGAGTAAGGCCTAATTATGTAATTATAAATATTCAATCAACTTAATATTTTTTCATGGATTATATACTCAATTTTTTTTATAATATCAACAGTTAAAATTATCAAAATAGACTCAGGAAAAATTCACATGAGACCTCACAGTAGCAAAGGAAAAATTCACATGAGACCTCACAGTAGCAAAATCTCATATCTTATATGAGATGAGTAAGAAATGTGAATAGAATGAAATAGTAGGGTAAGATTTTTGAAAACCTTAAACCATTTATTAAATAAAACCTTATCTCACTAGGCTTTTGAAAAATTACAACATTGTCTAATAATATTTTTTTTTAAAACAAGTTCAAATCATTTTTCTTATGTTGTAATGAAAAAGAAAAAGAAACCAAAAAGAAAAAGAAAAAGAAAAAGAAAAATGCAAAGAAAAGTCAAGTAATAATTTTTATTTTTATTATTTTTAATTTTAGACAGAATCTAATTTTTTCAGAGCCTTTAAATATCAAACCAACCTCGAAAGTCACCAACTACCAGTCCAAAGCTAAAGAAAACCAAACAAACTACTGACATTCTCTACTGACATTCTCTCTCTCTCTCTCTCTCTCTCTCTCAGGAAAAACTCACATGAGACCTCACAATAGCAAAATCTCATATCTTATATGAGATGAGTAAGAAATGTGAATAGAATGAAATAGTAGGGTAAGATTTTTGAAAACCTGAAACCATTTATTAAATAAAACCTTATCTCACTAGGTTTTTGAAAAATTACAACATTGTCTAATAATATTTTTTTTAAAACAAGTTCAAATCATTTTTCTTATGTTGTAATGAAAAAGAAAAAGAAACAAAAAAGAAAAAGAAAAAAAAAATGCAAAGAAAAGTCAAGTAATAATTTTTATTTTTATTATTTTTAATTTTAGACAGAATCTAATTTTTTCAGAGCCTTTAAATATCAAACCAACCTCGAAAGTCACCAACTACCAGTCCAAAGCTAAAGAAAACCAAACAAACTACTGACATTCTCTACTGACATTCTCTCTCTCTCTCTCTCTCTCTCTCTGTGTACATTCTATGTACTCTCTTCTCTCTCTACCATGATCATAGTTGCAGCAAACTCTCTCTCCTCACAAATGGCGATTTTTGGCACAGTTCTCACCCTAAACCAACTCTCTCTCTCCTAAAATTCCCAAAATCTCAAAAAATTCCATGAAAATCAATCCGATTTCCGAGAAAATGGATTCATTCAACATCGCTACCTTGAAATTCGAAAAGCCGAACGCGATCATGAGGTACCCTAGGGTTCAAAACATCACGACTCTGCTCCGATTCATCGAGATCTTCTTCCTCCTCCTCATGATCTCCCAACTCTCCACTCAATTCCCACTCTCCGCTCTCAAACTCACCGGTGATTACTTCCGGCGACTAACAATCGCCGTGTTTAGTCCCTGGTTCGTGTTCGTGATCGGAAACGCAATCATCATCACTTTGTTTCTGAAATACAGTACTAGAAATAGCAAAACGAGTTTCGATTACTGCGAAGAGTATGTTGAGAACAGTTTGAAGAATCAGATCGATCATGGAGTCGAGATCGAGTATCAGAGGAGAGAGAGTCAGTGTGAGAATTTGAAGAGAGAAAGTGGTGAAGAACGATGCGGCGGAGTAAGGCGGAGGAGTGCGGCGGCGATGAGTAGATGTGCGGAGAAGATGAGCGGAGAGGAGTTCCGGCGGACGGTGGAGGATTTTATTGCGAGGCAGCAGAGGTACCTGAGAGAAGAAGAGTTTTCAGCCATTGTTAGATACTGAAGAAGCTCAAGAAATCCTCTGTTTTTTTTTTTTGTTTTTGTTTTTTTTTTTTAACCATGTTTCTCTTCTTTGTTTGGAATATGGTTTTTTTTTTTTTAAAAAAAGAAAATTACTTAACAGGGAAGCAGAGAAAAATAACTACAAAAATATGAAAGGATGGTGCAAGCAATTTTATGATGGATGGAAGTAAAAAGCTATAAGGATACAAATCTCACATACATCTCTTCATATTTGTATTTTTTTTTTCCTGCAAAACTGATAAGTAATTTCCAAAAAGAAGAAAAAGAAAAAGTGCTTCAAGTTCTGCCTAGATTTTTCCCTATAAAGATATGGTTGTGTACAGTTCTAATCATTAAAGACTAGGAAGTTCTGTGTAGGCCATCTCCGATTCCAATTTTTCTTTTTTATTCTAATCTTAAATTATGATTTATTTACGCTTTCTCTTTTTAAATTTTGAAACTCAATAATTAATCACATTGAGTTTTTATCTTATTAGGATTCGATTAGTTTGAATGTGATATTTTATTAAATTACAAAATTTATTTTGTCTTTTTATAGTTAAAATTTCTGTTAAAAAATTTCTTTATCCCATGTCAAACGAGGGCTTCATATTTTTTGTTAAATTTTTATAAATTTTTATTCTAAAATTTAAATGGAAGCAAGTTATTTATGAAATATATGACATATTTATTAACATTTTAAGACAATAGTTTTTATTAATTTTTGAGAGTCGTTATTCCTATTCTATTTTGCTCTAAATGTACTCATTTTTTTTTTTGTCTTTTATTATACGTAGTTACATTAATACTCTTAGAATAGGAATAACAACTCTCTAATTCTTTTAGGTCATGTTTGATTCACAACACTAATAGTGAAGTATTAATAATCCTATTAAATTAGTGTGGTATTCACTATCCAATTGGATTAATATCCATTGAATTAATAATCCCACCCTTACCCCATTACTAATAATCCTACAAATTTGTTAGATTAATTATCTATTGGATTATTAATCCTAAATCAAAATGTTAAAACAAACATAAGATAATTGGGCCCACGGATTAATAATCCCAATCCCATGCTCCAATCCACCTAATCAAACATACCCTTAGAGCAATAATGCAAATCTCTCTTATCTTAGTGGCAAAGTGCAAACGCTGTCACCAAATGAGAATATTATTACAATAAAAATTTAATAAATATTTTATGTGTTTTACAGATGATGTGATTTTGTGTAAATCTCTAATAGATTCCTAACAAAAGAGGTTAACTATAACAAGATAATACTTAACCTATTAAGTTTAAAATTCATGAGACAAAATGTAAATAGATCATAGTTTAATAGAGTTTACTGTAACTTATTTTATTTATTTATTTATTTTGAAATAATTATACAATATTTTGTCATAGAAAGTTGTTGAGAAAATTTGATTGTATATGGGTTCGACCTTTTTTAAGTCTCACAGGTTCAATTGGGATATGGGTTGGCTTTTTGACGTTTTAATTTTTTAAAAAGTCTCGTTTGGGATAGACTTTTTGACTTTTTTGACTTTTGTGAGAAAAAAGATAAAATGATCATAGTTTAAATATGATATTTTGTTTTATTGGGATAAAAAGCTTATTTTGTCTTTTTATAACTATTTTAGACAAAAAAAATTCTATTTTAACTTATGCCAAACGAAGGCACAATCTTCTTGTATTTAATTTTGTGTGATTAATTTATGTCTAAGAAATGAATATGTGTTTCTTCTTCTTTATATATTTATTTTTCTTTTTCTTCTTTCCTTTTGTTTGTAGTATTTGTTTTGTACCAATGACTCAAGAAGATATCAACAATGATAACAGACCAAAGAAAGATTAATAATTTTGAAACTATGAAAGTAATGGGTTAACTAGTTCTGAGTTAACCTAATTCACACACACACAAAATGACACATACATACCTGATTATTAAAAAATTTCCAAAAAATATAGAACGTAAAATATAATTAGTTATAAAAAAAATAATGATATTTAATGATGTTTGCAAATTACACATGTATGGCTTTAATAAGATTTTTAATAGGAAATTTTAATATCTGTACCATTGCTATATACATAATCTGTTTATAAGAATTGATGCATATCATCTATGGTATTAAATTATAGTTTCAATTTCAAAATATATTTACATTGTTTAGATATTGAATTTGTGAAGGAAAAATAAACTATTACAAAAAATCTCCTTTCTTTTTCTCCTACAAAATTTTTGTATTTAGATCTTAAATTTGTGAAAATAAAAGAAAAATAAATGAAAAAAAGTTATTATCATGGTTCACAAATCTCTTTACAAACATTTAAACATGATAGTTTTAAATAAATAATTCAAATTCAAAACACAATCAATGATGACTTAAATAGTAAATAGTTTAAGCTCAAAACACAAAGAATTCTTCATTATTGCAAGGATATTATTGTAGAGAATCATATTATACTTTTATTGACTTGAAATGAAGTATATATAATTAATAACTTACAAATATAATTACAAAATCATAGTTGTAGCTACATGAGTAGAGTAGCTTTTTTAATGAGAGGCTCCATTGTTTAACGTGTATGGCTAACCATGATTTTGGATACGTTTGATATAACTTTTGTTTTAAGTTCAAAATTGATGATAAAAAGGTAAAAGCAAAAGTATCTATTCTTCAATTTTTAGATTATCAACTTATTTAAGTTATTTTTATTTAATAAATTAAAATAAAAACGATCTATACATATTTTCAAAAAAATAAATAATTATAAACAACCTTAACAAAAAACGCCAAAGAGATCTTGGGTGGTCAAGTATGTATTTTGTCTATGCTCGTAGAAATATTGATACAAAATAATACAAGTCAACTAAACAAGACAAAAGTAAACTCATATTTGTGGGTTTGCTTTTCTGTTTTCTGATTGCTTATATTTTTGTGAGTTTTGTCGTTGTTTTGTTTAGTGGTGGTGATAAATTTATTCTCTTTGTGGGGGTCTATAAATTATTCCAGACATGTTTTATTATCGAATTCTTACAATTGATTTTGTTTTGCAGTATGAGTATCAGTGTAAAATGTGCGTCTGAATATTTTTATAAATTCTTTCATTTGTACTTCTTAGATTTTTTCTTTATTTGGTGTAAGTATTGGGTTAGATGAACTCTTATAAGTGTCGTTTGACTTTTTTTAATGGATTTTCTCCAGATCAAAAAAAAAAAAAAAACTACTGATGAAATCCATGGAAGTACCAGATGAAATCACCTTCTCATTCCTTGGCTTCAAATTCCTATATGGCTATTGTCAACGATTATTCGTTGGCCCTTGTTAAGGTATATTTATAGTTGTATTAATTGATTTTTATTAGTGTTTAGGTTTGATAGATTCATTTTGAGATTGATTTTGGTAATTTAAATTGTTTACTTTTTAAGACTCGTTAAGTAAAATATTTAAGATGATTGTACATCAATAATTGAATCATATTTATTTTTAAAAAATAAACGACAAATATAATTTCAAAAATAGTCATCAATTTTTTGTAATATAAATTTGATTTAAATATATAGTTATTAAAATCTGATCATCTTAATTTTTTATATCAATATTCTACTCAATAAATCTTAAAAAATAAATATTTCAGATCACTAAAATCAGTCATAAAATGGACCTACCAAACCCAAACGACCCAAACGTTCTCTCAAAGTGAAATCACAATCTCTCATAATTTTCCATTTTAACTTAGATGCATTTATTGTTGCGACTATTTTATTAACTTTTTGAATTTATATATAATATTTTAAATCTTCTATGCACACTTGTTACATCACCCTTCATATATACGTTCCACAATGACTTGAGAGAGATAATACCAACAGAGGAGAACAAAAAGAGAGAAATTTCACACTTTCAATTCTCTGCTCCAATCATTCACTTGACACCCCAAACCAAACTATGTTTGCAAAACATGTTTTCAGAAGCCAACATGCCTTCTGCAAAAACAGTGGTTACCACAGCAGCTTCCATAGCTGCTTCTGCCATGTTGGTCCAATCAATCGTCCGCGATTTGGTCCCATATGAGCTCCAATACTATCTCTTCTCGAAAATCTGAAACATTTTCAAGTCTCTCATCTGAAGTAGTCTTGATCATTGAAGAATTTGATGGGCTTGTTGGGAATCAAATCTACAAAGCTGCTCAAATCTATTTGGGATCCAGAATCTCTCTCAATACCCAATTGTACAAAGTAAGCATACCGGAGAAAGAGACAAAGATTTGGACTTCCATGGCGAAAAATCAATCAATGATAGACAATTTCAATGGGGTTTAATTTAAATGGTATCAAGTCGAAATAGACACTGAATCCAAGCAAGCCATGTACCCGGATCAATACTCATATTCAATAAAAAACATAAAAACATTGTGTTTGATTCTTATTTTCCTTTAATACTAAAAGAGACAGAGAATTTGAAAGATGGGAGAAAGGCTTTAAAGATACGTACTTTGAATAATGCACACGCGCGGATGTACTCAGGCATGAGTTATACTTGGGATTCGATAAATCTTGACCATCCATCCACATTTGAGACATTGGCAATGGACGCGGAGATGAAGAGGATGGTGACGGAGGATCTAGAGAGGTTTGTGAGGCGAAGAGACTTTTATCAGAGGGTTGGGAAGGCTTGGAAACGCGGGTACTTGTTGTATGGGCCACTGGGGACAGGAAAATCGGGCTTGATTGCGGCAATGGCATATTACCTAAAGTTTGATGCGTATGATTTGGGACTGATATACATGACAATTCTGAGCTGAGGAAGTTGTTGATTGCAACGGCAAATCGGTGTATACTTCTTGTTGAGGACATAGATTGTAGCATTGACTTGGAAGATCAAAGAGATGCAGAGGAGGAAGTTTTAAGGATGCTTCAATCTAATGAAGTAAGGCATGCTCATACTATTAATATTGTTACGGAAAAGAAAGAAAACCAAGCAAGTCCTTCTTCTTGTTCCATTTTGTTTCTTTTTCTTAGTTACATAGATCATCTTCTTGATCCTCTTGCCACATTCATAGATTTCATTCTTGGGCTTTTTTGAAAAAGGTTTTCTAACTGCACATGAAATTCAATGAAAACGAGGTTGTATGGGAGTAAAATGCTTTTTGATTTTTAAAGGTGAAAAACAATTTTCAGGCTAGATTTATCTATCCGGCCACTATTGTCACCATTAACACCCTACCACGACCACCACTCTACTAACACTACCATTGCCACCACCGCCACTACCACCACCTTCACCATCCTGCCAACACACCACTACCACAACTACTAGGACATCACTTTAAGGGTCGTAACTAAATAAAAGAAAACGTTTTTCTGCATATGACACTTTCCAAAAAATGCAAAAATCATACAAACCATAGCCCCACCGTTAAATTTCAAATTTTGTTCCTTCTTATCGTAGGTAACACTATCAGGACTGTTAAATTTCATCGATGGACTGTGGTCGAGCTGTGGAGACGAGCAAATCATCATGTTCACAACCAATCACAAAGAAAGGCTAGACCCAGCTCTGTTACGCCTTGGCTGGATGGATGTGCACATCCGCATGTCTTATTGCAGCGCTTGTGGATTCAAAACCCTAGCTGCAAATTATCTTGGGCTCAATGACCACTCTCTTTTTCCTGAAATTGAAGGTTTGTTGGGGAAGACCATGGTGCCCCCAGCAGAAATTGGGGAGCAACTACTGAAGAATGAGAACCCTGAGAGTGTATTGCAAGGCTTGGTTGAGTTCCTCATAGAGAAGAAGAGGGTGGCTGGAGAAATGGAGGCCAAAAAACTAGATCAAAAAGAAGATGATGTAGAAGAGATTGGCAACAAGAATGCAGAGGAAGAAGGGGAAAGTGTTGATGGAGAAATGCTAGAGACTCATCATTTAGATTTCTATATTCGATCACAATGATGTGATAAAGCAGTGGAACCTTACATAATTGAATGAACAATAAATCAAAAATTAACACATCGCATCACGTGTTTATGAATCAAATTAGAACTATTTGAGGGGTTTCAAATATTTTCTGTTCATTGATGGGACTCAAAATGCAGCCATGAGGTAGAGGAGCTTTTGTTGAGTAATTCTATAAACCAAAAACTCAAAAAACAAAATAAATAAGTATGAGCCAGATTTAACATTTGTATCAGAAGACTCACTGGCCACCCGAATAATGAATGTAAATCACACATTCGTTTTCCTTGATATTTTTTGGTTCCTCTAGCTTTTTTTTTTTTGGGTCTCCGTCTGCACTACATTCCATACTATATAATTATGCTTTCAAACACATTACATTTTGTTCTTTTCTATTGAGGATCCTACATGTGACTATTGCTAATTTCTGTATTTTGAGATTTCTATGTATCAAGCAATTTGGAGTGTAGAGAGAAAGAGAGAGACTTTGAAAACAAGCTTGTCCTAGACTTGGATTAGAAGAATTTTATTCATATTCAGCTATATTTTACCACTTTAATTTGTTTGTGTTCATGTGATTGAACTTCAAGCAATAATATGATGCAAACTTCTGTATACACTTAAAACATCTTCAGACTTTACTCAAATTTTTACTTTAATTTAAGTAGAAAGTTGAATAAAAACTATATTTAATATGAAGCACTACAATAGACAAACAAAAACAAATAAAAAGAATTAGGAAGAACTAAAAAATTCAATCATTTTGGGGAAAAACAGAAACAAAATTCAAACCAAATCAAATTTTTTCTGATATCCTGGGTCTCCCACCACAACAATTGAGGTCATCAAAACATCTCTAGGTTTAGCAATCTGTAATAAAGAGAGAACTAGGAAGAACTCATAATCCAAGTCTGTTCATCGGTACACTGGTATATGCAGCACTTAAAAAGGTGTAAACTTCATATAACAGGTCCAAACCAAACCAAACCAAACACAAAATCCTAAATCACCTTAGATCCACTATTTCTGTGTCGAACTAAAGGATTCTCAGTCCCTACATATGTAATAATTGGGTAATATCCCGATAGCAGTTTTTTATTTGTAGGTAAAAGTCTATGCTCACAAAACCCTCCGGCAGCTGTGCCTGCATCATCAACCAATTTCAGAGAGTCAATTTATTATCACCATTTTAGATATACTTAGATGACTAAAATCAAATTCACACGTCATCAAAACTCAAAAGTTGGTGACAACACATAAAACTCAAAACATTTTCTGAGCACTCTAAACATTTTACAAGAGGCACTGCAAATTCTTGTCTTTATGGAGACTGCAAAAGCAAACAAGTAGGAAATCAACAATACATATCTAACTGAGGCACCTTTCTGACAAAATTTGAAGTCATAACATGGATTTATAGTCATTTTATTAGCTGCTTTGTTTGCCCAAAAACTGACAAGCCAGAAGCCCCGGCCCCCCAAAAAACAGGATTTTCAGCTTTTGTGGAAAACATGGAACTTTTAAGGTTTCAAAAATGAATTTCAATTTGGTTACCAAAAGCCTAAAACAGCTGCTTTTCAATACCAAAACCCAACAGCTGCTTTTACAAAAAAAATTAGGCGAACCCAGAGGGTTTGGGCTATATGATGAAATAAACATTTGATTGTGAAGGGGAGGATAAATTTTTGACGGTAGGTAAGGAAACTGATGATGTAAGCACCTTACAGCAGCCAGATAAACCATCCTGGTAGCAAACAAAATACACTGATATAAACAGTGCATAACTTGATGTTTATTAGTCCTATTAATTATTTATACAATGAACTGCTTTACATTACTTGGGGGGCTCATTAATATATGTGTGCAGTGGTGGTACAAGAAGAAAAGGGCAGTGGGGTATGTGAGGAAAATTATTTATTAGTTTGGACTAACACCTCATATTTTTCTTGATCAATTATGGTCAGTTAAATCAATATAAGTAAGCATTTTCACCTTTAAAAGGAGGCATGGCACTTGTATATCAACCAATATCATAATGGTGTTGACAAATTAGCATAAAGGCCCATTTACATGAATTGATGGAGAAATGCTAGAGACTCATCATTTAGATTTCTATATTCGATCACAATGATGTGATAAGGCAGTGGCACCTTACATAGTTGAATGAACAATAAATCAAAAATTAACACATCACATCACGACTTTATGAATCAAATTAGAACTATTTGAGGGGTTTCAAATATTTTCTGTTCTTTGATGGGACTCAAAATGCAGCCATGAGGTAGAGGAGCTTTTGTTGAGTAATTCTATAAACCAAAAACTCAAAAAACAAAATAAATAAGTATGAGCCAGATTTAACATTTGTATCAGAAGACTCACTGGCCACCCGAATAATGAATGTAAATCACACATTCGTTTTCCTTGATATTTTTTGGTTCCTCTAGCTTTTTTTTTTTGGGTCTCCGTCTGCACTTCATTCCATACTATATAATTACGCTTTCAAACACATTACATTTTGTTCTTTTCTATTGAGGATCGTACACGTGACTATTGCTAATTTCTGTATTTTGTGATTTCTATGTATCAAGCAATTTGGAGTGTAGAGAGAAAGAGAGAGACTTTGAAAACAAGCTTGTCCTAGGCTTGGGTTAGAAGAATTTTATTCATATTCAGCTATATTTTACCACTTTAATTTGTTTGTGTTAATGTGATTGAACTTCAAGCAATAATATGATGCAAACTTCTATATATACTTAAAACATCTTCAGACTTTACTCAAATTTTTACTTTAATTTAAGTAGAAAGTTGAATAAAAACTATATTTAATATGAAGCACTACAATAGACAAACAAAAACAAATAAAGAGAATTAGGAAGAACTAAAAAATTCAATCATTTTGGGGAAAACAGAAACAAAATTCAAACCAAATCAAATTTTTTCTGATATCCTGGGTCTCCCACCACAACAATTGAGGTCATCAAAACATCTCTAGGTTTAGCAATCTGTAATAAAGAGAGAACTAGGAAGAACTCATAATCCAAGTCTGTTCATCGGTACACTGGTATATGCAGCACTTAAAAAGGTGTAAACTTCATATAACAGGTCCAAACCAAACCAAACCAAACGCAAAATCCTAAATCACCTTAGATCCACTATTTCTGTGTCGAACTAAAGGATTTTCAGTCCCTACATATGTAATAATTGGGTAATATCCCGCTAGCAGTTTTTTATTTGTACGTAAAAGTCTATGCCGACAAAACCCTCCGGCAGCTGTGCCTGCATCATCAACCAATTTCAGAGAGTCAATTTATTATCACCATTTTAGATATACTTAGATGACTAAAATCAAATTCACACGCCATCAAAACTCAAAAGTTGGTGACAACACATAAAACTCAACATTTTCTGAGCACTCTAAACATTTTACACGAGGCACTGCAAATTCTTGTCTTTATGGAGACTGCAAAAGCAAACAAGTAGGAAATCAACAATACATATCTAACTGAGGCACCTTTCAGACAACATTTGAAGTCATAACATGGATTTATAGTCATTTTATTAGCTGCTTTGTTTGCCCAAAAACTGACAAGCCAGAAGCCCCGCCCCCCAAAAAACAGGATTTTCAGCTTTTTTGGAAAACATGGAACTCTTAAGGTTTCAAAAATGAATTTCAATTTGGTTACCAAAAGCCTAAAACAGCTGCTTTTCAATACCAAAACCCAACAGCTGCTTTTACAAAAAAAATTAGGCGAACCTAGAGGGTTTGGGCTATATGATGAAATAAACATTTGATTGTGAAGGGGAGGATAAATTTTTGACGGTAGGTAAGGAAACTGATGATGTAAGCACCTTACAGCAGCCGGATAAACCATCCTGGTAGCAAACAAAATACATTGATATAAACAGTGCATAACTTGATGTTTACTAGTCCTATTAATTATTTATACACTGAACTGCTTTACATTACTTGGGGGGCTCGTTAATATATGTGTGCAGTGGTGGTACGAGAAGAAAAGGGCAGTGGGGGGGGTGAGGAAAATTATTTATTAGTTTGGACTAACACCTCATATTTTTCTTGATCAATTATGGTCGGTTAAATCAATATAAGTAAGCATTTTCACCTTTAAAAGGAGGCATGGCACTTGTATATCAACCAATATCATAATGGTGTTGACAAATTAGCATAAAGGCCCATTTACATGAATCATGACCAAAACGTATAGCTAAAATCATAGTTGACTGTAGACAGCTATAGCATAATTTGAATTGATTAACATGATTTATGAGTTTCTGTGAGGCACTAATCTTGGAAGGACAGGAATGGAGGCAAAAAAATTAGGTACTTGCCTCAAAATTAAGAGCAGATATTGTTTTGACAAGAGGGAACAACATATCTTCCACATAGTAGTAACTCTACACCGCCATTTTCATTTCAATTTTCTGGTGAGGATCATAACACATGAGTTTAAAGTCATCTGCCACAAAGGAATCTATATCCTTCTTCTCAGGATTGATCTTCAAAATCTGCATGTAAAAATAGTATAATTAGAAGGGTGTGGAATAGGAATTCCAAAAACTATGAAAAGAAGGGCAAGTGAAAGGAAACAATACTTCTTCCAAACCGCAACAATAGTCAGTTGATAGATTACACTTACTGGAAAAGGTTTACTTACTGGAAAAGGTTTAGGTAGTTTCTGAAGCTGCTCCTGCAAAGGTCTGACATGAGTGCGATAAACATGAGCATCCCCAATAACATGGACAAAATCACCTGGAACAAGATCTGTACAAATAAAAAGGAATCAAAACAAATTCTTAACACATAACCCAAAGTCAAGGTATATTTAATCGGACTAAACTACAGATAACTAATGGGTATGGTGGGTAAGATGACACTTTCATTCTTTAATTATCCAAGCAAGTTCTTTAACATGATGCATGCCAAAGAAATCCACGTGCATCAACACATCAGATGTGAGTGTGCCATAGAATGTTTACTTTTAAACATATGCATAGAACTTGTTATAGTGGTGTTATTAACACATACCACAAACGTGAGCAATCATGAATGTCAAGAGGGAATAAGATGCAATGTTAAATGGCACACCCAGACCCATGTCAGCAGAGCGCTGATACATTTGACACGATAACTCCCCGTTGGCTACATAGAACTGCACCCACAAATAAATAAAAAGGGAAAGAAAGAGAGAGTTTACTCAGACAAAGAGAAGTAATAGAAAAATACAGATGAACTTCTTTAAATACCTGAGCAAACATGTGGCAAGGGGGAAGTGCCATCAATTTGAGATCAGAGGGGTTCCAAGCTGATAGAATGATCCGCCGATCATCTGGTTTATTCTTAATCTTGTCAATAACATCTGACAACTGATCAAATCCAAGGCCAGTGTAGTCAGCATGCATGTTTGTATACCTGTATTTCACAAGTCCCACAGATGAAAAAATGAAGATAGTTCCATCAGTGAATGTGCAATCAACCAACTATACTTGATAAAGAATAAAATTCACCAACCTAGCACCAAAGTGTCTCCACTGGAAACCATAAACGGGACCTAAGTCACCTTCTTCTCTATCAACTAAACCAATACTGAAGAAAAAAAAAAATAAATAAAAATAAATAAAAATCAAGTAAATTTGTATAGGTAACATTAGAACTAAACAGTAGCAATAGCTCTGTACTTGCCTATCAAGGTAGTCTCTGGATGCATTTCCGTCCCATATATGAATGCCCTTTCCCTGTAGGACCTGTTAACAACAAAAGCTATGCAATCCTAATACACCATAATATCATATATATGGTTCCATTTGTTTTGTCACATGGTTTGAAGGCACAAAGCAATTATTTTTACAGACTTCTGATCAGACGAAAACAGAAATAGATAAAAACAAATGTACCATTCAAAATAGAGATTTCTTGAAATCCTGCATGGATGGTCCTTTTGGGATGTAAGTTAAATTGTAAAGGTTCTCTTCATAATGTCCAGACAATTATAAGCATCTACTAAAGAATTAGGCATGCCACACAAACTAGGGTTTTCTTTGCACAAACTTTCCTCATTTCTAGGTATGAATTTCTTGCTCTTTAGGAAATACTAACAGTGACCCTAGATAAAAACAAATGTACCATTCAAAATAGAGATTTCTTGAAATCCTGCATGGATGGTCCTTTTGGGATGTAAGTTAAATTGTAAAGGTTCTCTTCATAATGTCCAGACAATTATAAGCATCTACTAAAGAATTAGGCATCCCACACAAACTAGGGTTTTCTTTGCACAAACTTTCCTCATGAATTTCTTGCTCTTTAGGAAATACTAACAGTGACCCTGTCTCAATGCTTGTATGAAACCAACTACAGAAAACATTGCCAAATAAAAAGCAACTTCAAGTTTAAGGACGTCAGCCTTGTAAACCCATCCAAGAACATCCAAACATTTATCTGAAAAAAGAGAGAAGAAAAGTGTTCCCAAAAAATTCTAAGGCCACACATTATCTCAAGGTCCAAGAAGCAGTGATATCCTCCAACAGCCCTCTTGCATCTATATTAAAGAATTGTGATTTTACTTTACAATAGAAGCACATATAAAATCCATAAGGGAAGGTCCACATCTGATGCATGCATATCACAAGTCCCACAAATAGTCTCGAGTCCTCCAATTTAAGTTTCTAAAGTTCTCATCAGAGTTCTCCTTCAGCCTCAACTACAAAGTTGCATACACTTGAAGCTACAATACCACTAGAAGCATTTAATAAATCTTCCATTTGAACTACATGAGCAATCAAACCCAAACAAAAAAATCTTTAAATGAACTTTTTGATTGAATGAACAACATCATAAATAAGTTACAAAACCAACATGCTCCAGCCTAGTCACATTATGTATATAAGGATTCGAAAGGGAAATAAAACACATAAACAAAATGTTCAACAGCAGCAGTTACCTTAGCATTTGTTGAGCCGCTGATGAACCACAGAAGTTCCTCAACAACACCTCGCCAAAATACTTTCTATTTAACAACAATGACGGGACATATGTCAAACTATATGAAAGAATAACTAAACAGAATGTTGGGTTATTGAAGAGACTGATATAATCAACTAGCAACTGAAGAAGAAAAAAAAGAAGAGAAAAAAAAGAAAAAGAAAGAAATAAAGATAAATTAAGCATGCCTTAGTTGTAAGAAGTGGAAAAGATTTACGCAGATTGAACCGCATCTGTGGAAAAAATGGCAAAGAACATCAAATATCTCCATTCACAAGATATTTTTGAAATTGTCCTTCAGAATTGAAATAAAAAAGTAGTGCCCATGTGACATAAGTTTCACATTACCTGGCAACCAAATTTTGATAGAGTACCGGTCCCTGTCCTGTCATCTTTAGAAGTGCCATCAGAGATGATGTCTTGAACCAGTCTCAGATACAAATACTCCTCATGTTTCTCAAAAATCATCTTAGGCAGGAAAGAGAATTTCTTCACCTCAAACTTATCAAAATTCAAGCTATTATCAGATTTCAGACCATTGGCCTGACTAAGGGGTTCAATTGTAATATTCTTCACACGAACATAAGTAGTGAAAGAATAGCGAATGTTGTTTTCCACCAACGGGAAAGATGAGTACCATGGCAGGAAGACAGACATATCAACAGCAGGGATGAAAGTGTCACATTCAATGTTAGTCTCAATTTCTGTAATGTGGATGGCATCACAACCAGGAGCATTGAGGGCTTCCCTGCATTAGAAAGATTAATGAGCTAAAAACAATGGGGCGGAAAAGGAAAGAAAGATAGAAAAGAAAAGGTCCACAAAAAACAACAAACTGCACACCTCAAAATCTGACCACCTCCGATAACAAACACTTTCTCAATTGATAGACAATAAGGAGATGCTGCCAATAACTCCAAAGCAGAACCAATGCTTCCACAAATCACAACATTCTCAGCAGTTGCAATATCAAAACTCCCAGAACGAGTCAGAACAACATTAAGGCGACCAGGCAGAGGCCGATGCTCCAGCGGAATGCTCTCCCAGGTTTTTCTACCCATAATGACTGCATTCTTTTTTACAGGATCTGATGTAGTCAAAGTAACATCCTTGAAATATTTGAGATCAGAAGGCAATTTCCAAGGTAATTTCCCATCCTTACCAATACCCATATTTTGAGTTGCAGCCACAACAACTTGGTAAGTCCTCTGTGGATCAGGAATTGTATTGAGAATGCCATTAGGAACATTCACGAGGGAATCACCAGCCATTGTGGAATTAAAACCCTGGAAGAAAATTGAAAATGATGACTCACGACCGATATTACGCGACCAACTTTTGTGGAAGCGCAGTAGAACCTGATATTTGTAAACAAGTAAAAAAATCATAAATTTTATCATCAGTCTTAGTGGGATTCAACAAGAAACCAACATGTAAAATGATGTCAGGGACATGGTATACTCTATGAGAAAACAATCACAACCTGATAACAATACACAATACACAACACACTCAACAAATAAAGTTGAGAATACACCAATATCCTTCAATGTACTCATATGTTACATGGACTCGGATATGAATATCGGGTGCGGATGTGTATTCAAGTGTCAAACCTTCATAAATTTAAATCTTAGGATCTTGGAATACATATCCACAATTAGATATGGGTACGGGGAAATATTTTTAGATGAGATATTGTAAATTATGTACAAATATACTAGAAATTAAATAGGATTCAAGAAAAATATAAAATTTCTATATCTAATTCATGTTGATGTTTGGATAGGATGTTCAAACTATGTTTCCACAACATTTAAAAAATTCCGCAGAAAAATCTGTGTGAGACGCAATTTTCAAATTTTAATTTTTTTGAAATTTGGCCTAACCGGTTGTCCAACCAGTTGACCGGAAAAGTGTAATTTTTTTTTTTTTTTTTGCAATTGACACATGTTAATTTTTATATATTCAAAAAAAATATTTTTTGAATTTTTAAAAAAATTTTGTGAGCTTTAATAGAATTTTGAGTTGTAAGCTTTTGTATCAAATATCACATGTCACATCAAAAATTCCCCACTCAATGCAAAACTCTTTTCAAAACTCATTCATCAAACAAATTTTCCACACTCAAATCATAATTTCAAAACTCACAAACTCAAAATACAACTCCTATTCTCAAAACATATTTAGAAAACTCTACCAAACACTACCATAAAATTTCTATATCTAACTCATGTGAGAGGCTACAAATATTACTTTTATAACAAATGTAAGTTTCTTATTCTTCATGTATTGTGACGTATTAAAAAATTTGAGTGTCTAAATTGGGCATAAGTGTCAGACACATATCCCACACTCTTACCCATATCATATCCGGTGGACACGGATACTGTAGAGGAAATATAAAAGTCCATGTAACATCAGTGATGCTCAATCACAACCTGATATGGCCTAACAAACTAATACACAGCACCAGATACAATTTTAGAAAGATGAAGCAAACCTAAGAAGACCCGCATTAAAACCATCAAGTGACCACCAAAGACTACAAAAACTTATTATCACATATTACTCCATAACGTATTCTATGTGCCAAGATGTTGCTTTTTTTTTCTTTTTTTGGATCAGCAATGTGCCAAGATAGCATCTCACACATTCCAATATAATCAACAACAAAACCATTAATACAGAAGAAATATTGAATTTGCCAAAATTGTAACAATGTGCAAATTACAAGCGCACAGAGAGAGAGAGAGAGAGAGAGAGAGAGAGCACTACAAAAATGTAGAGTAATCATTAGCCCAAATCAACTTAAAGCTGAAAAAAAAAATTAAAAAAAAATATTGCCAATTATAAGAGATTGTGGTCAAGGCAGGAAGAACCCAAAATCAAATTTTACAGCCAACATGGTCCGAATGTATACAAAACCTTAAACCAAAGAAAGTCACAAATGGGAGTTCAGGTAGAACACAGTCCTTATAACCAGTGATCATTCTTCTATTGGGTCTTTCACTTGCAAAAAAAGGTTGCCAATCTTAATAGGGGTGGCACTGGCACTCTCAAATGAAAATTCTTTGTTTCCCCTTTTTTTTCAATCACACCCCAACACAAACCCACCTTAAACACAATATTTGGGGGCAAACTGAAACAATGAGTTCCTAAGGAAAGACCTAAAATCATCTATGACTAAGAAATTGCTTCTTCTAGGGTCAGATTCTTTGGATTTCTCTTCTTGATGTTCAACCAAAAACCACAAAACCCAGAACAAGTACACATGCAATGCTTAAATACATACAAAGTTAAACCCAAATCGGTGATAGAAATTAATTGAACAAAGGACTAGATAAGAGATGCGAAAAACAGAAAATAAATACAGACATTCAAATTTTCAAAAGATATCGAAATGGGGTAAAAAAAAAAAAAATTTACCGATCGGAGAGGGAAAAGCGTTTCGTACGAAATCTTGGAGCGTTTTCGAAGGCAAAATTTGGAGATATCGGATTGAGTAGAGAGAATTGGGGAAGAAATTAGGGTTTGGATAGAAGTGTGAGTGGTTCAGTCCTTGAGCATTTGTGAGTTTGGAGTCGAAGAAAAGGACTGTGTAGCGTAAAAGCCGCTTCAATCCCTACCCTCTCTCTTCAAATAGAGAGAGAGAGAGAGAGGGCGAAGAAAACAAAAACGCGGAGTATCGCCAAGGTGAGTGTTGAAATACTGAAATGCCCTTGGTTGGTTATGGATTTACCAACCTAACAAACAAACAAAATTTGTAGGGCATGTTTGGTTTGTCTCTTAGGCTAGGTTTGGTATTCCCGAAAAAAAGTTAAAAAGTCAAAAAATTACTATTCTATTTAAATCACATTATCTTATTTAATTTGTATTACTTCTCTACCACATCATTTCAAACTCAACTCATATTTCATAAAAAGTCAAATAGTACATTTATTTAGAACATCCCAAACAACCCCTTAAATCATGTTTTTGAAGAAAAATTTTTAAAAATATGTTTGGTTGAAAGTTTTTAGAAAAAAATTTCAAAATTATTTTTCCTCTCTATTACACATTGTTGGCTTATTTTTCCTATGATTGAAAAATTCTTACAAATTAAATTTAAGCCAATGATCAAGCGATTGCGTTGACGGTTCTTTTGCCTCAACGAAGAGGACTTCAAAATTGTCAAGTGTAAAGAAAATAAAAAGTAAAAGAAGAAAGAGGGACGGAGAAAGGCGATTGAGTGAACAATCAAAGTAATAATTATTTACCTCTACTCCTATGCTTCGAAGAGGAAGTGCATAAAATGCTTCGAAATGAAAATACTGAAAATAAATGTTTCGAAATATAAATCTATGTTAAACTACTCATAAGATAAGGAAAATGACAATAAATATTGAAATCAATTGTCTTTGATTATGAATTCTGGACCCCCTTACAATGTAGCCATTAATGGCTATTTATAGAGGAAAAAATACAGCAATAACTACTTAGTAATTACTCATTTCTTCCATCGTTATTCTCGTCTTGCCATGTTTCCTTCCACTCATCCACTTTGCCCTTCCACTCATCCACTTTGTCCTTCCACTCATCCACTTTGTCCTTCATATTCTCCATCATCTCTATAACTTCTTTTAACTTCCAAATGAATAAGAGGATGCCACGTGTCCTGCAAAAAATTACAGATTTATTGTGCCAACATTACCCCCCCGCGGCCCTTAAAAATGATGTTTACTTTGAATTTTTGAAGGGCCGAACCATGCACATGACTAATCTAAGCAATAAAGTGCTTCGAATAATATCAACAAAGTGCTTCGAATGATATAATAGTACCAATAAAGTGTTTCGAATGAGTATGAAATTATGACTAGATGACCAATAACAAGCTTCGAAGGTGGTATAAAAGACCAAATTCATCGTTCGAAGGTCTTGTGGAACAAATTTGAAGGAACAACATCACCTTTCGAAGGTTGGAAGCATTGATATAGGATGATGATACTTACAATGAAGTTTCAAGGTTAGGCTTGGTGCTTCGAATGTATCTTCGAAACTTTATACAGTTTCGAAGGTGAAGTAATCAACCTTCGAAACAACTCTTGATGCTTCGAATGTATCTTCAAAGCTTTATACAGTTTCGAAGATGAAGTAATCAACTTTCGAAACAACTCTTGATGCTTCGAATGTATCTTCAAAGCTTTATACAGCTTCAAAGGCGAAATAATCAACCTTCGAAACAACTCTTGATGCTTCGAATGTATGTTCGATGCTTTGATTGTGTACAACTGGCCATCAATTTGAAAAGATAAGACATTCTCAACCATTTATTTAAATGTATAGGCTTTTTCTAGCTAAGTTCATGCATTTTAAATGGTCATCATTTGTTTTAGCCAAGTTCATGCTTCGAACTCATAAGAACAATTTGTTAATTTTATTAGTCACATCATCAGGATTATATTTTGATGTGAACCACAAATCCAAAAAGGATTTTGAACACCAAAAGTTATGGTATAATGTGACCATGAAAATTCATACTTTTTGACATTTTGAAAAATGCCAAAAATTTTGAATTCATGAACAGTGGCTTGTTCATTATTCTTGACCATGTTTGTTTTAAAAACATGACTTTTGCCGAATAGATTTTCATAATTATTTGACAAAGTGGGTTGTTTTTCCATGTTAGTCATTAATGGCTTATGAAAATCACCCATAGATATATTATTTTCATGACATGACTCTCTAAAAATTGATTTTGAGACCCCCTAAGCCATGCATGGAACATCATTCTTAGCCAAATTTAGCTCAAGAACATGCTCTTTCGTTATGTTAATTTCATAATTTGGCTCTTTAAAAACGGACTCTTGAACCCCCCGAGCCATTGATGAAATCAACTCTTTACTTTTGCTATTTTCAACCATGGAAAAATTCTGAAAAAATTCACCAATTCCGACCATTAAAGCTTCAGTTAAAGACTTGGTAGTGAGAGTTGGTAACTCATCATTCCATTGGCGAATTTCCATATCAAGTTGATGAATTTCTCCAATTAAATGGTGTCTTTTTTCTTCCACTAAATAATATTGCAATGGATAAAAGTTTATTTCATCGAGAAAATGGATCTCTTCTTGAAGATCCAAAATTTTTCTTTCACGCCAATATATTTTAAATTGACAAGTTCGAATGGCGAAATCTAAATCGTTTGTCATTTCTTACACTTGGCAATCCCACTGGGTGTGCCAAAAATTATTGGCTTATCTTTTCTACGAAGGAAAATATCATAAATGCGAGCGTGCCAGCAAGGATTGAAAAATCCTTACAGATTAAATTCAAGCCAATTATCAAACGATTGCGTTGACAGTTCATTTGTCTCAACGAAGAGGACTTCAAAATTGTCAAGTGTAGAGAAAAGAAGAAGTAAAAGAAGAAGGAGGGACGGAGAAAGACGATTGAGTGAACAATCAAAGTAATAATTACTTACCTCTACTCCTATGCTTCGAAGAGGAAGTGCATAAAATGTTTCGAAATGGAAATGCTGAAAATAAATGCTTCGAAATATAAATCTATGTTAAACTACTCCTAAGATAAGGAAAATGACAATAAATATTAAAATCAATTGTCTTTGATTATGAATTCTGGATCCTTTTACAATGTAGCCATTAATGGCTATTTATAGAGGAAAAAATACAGCAATAACTACTTAGTAACTACCCATTTCTTCCATCTTTATTCTCATCTTGCCATGTGTCATTCCACTCATTCAATTTGTCCTTCATATTCTCCATCATCTCTATAACTTCTTTTAACTTCCAAATGAATAAGAGGATGTCACGCGTCTTGCAAAAAATTACAGATTTATGGTGCCAACACACATTAATCAATTATTATTTTTTTCTCTCTTTTCTTCTTATCAATCATTTTTTTCTTTCTATTCAGTTATAAAAAAAATATTAAATCATCATAAACTCCAAACTTCAAAATTATTTTCAAAATATAAAATTATACAAATTTTTAAATTTTCTAAACTCTTTTTAAAACAATATTTCAAAACAAAAACCAAGCAATGTCTTAGATTTTTTAATTATTTTTCTTCTATTATTTATTACAAAAACTACCAAAATTGTTAATATATAAAAATAAATTCCAAAAAAATATTTTCAATAACATATTTTTTATTTTTGATTCCTTGAAACTGATGTAATAATTTTTATATAGGTGGTGGTGATGGCAACAACAACAATAGTGGTGATGACGATGCTAATATAATAACATTGATAAGAGTTTAGTTTAAAAACGGTTTTTACTTACTTTTTATTATTTATTACAAAAACTACCAAAATTGGTAATATATATAAATAAATTTCAAAAAATGTTTTCAATAAAATATTTTTTATGTTTGGTTCCTTGAAACTACTGTAATAATTTTTATATAAGTGGTGGTGGTGGTAGCAACAGCAACAATAGTGATGATGACAATGTTAATATGATAACATTTATAAGAGTTTAGTTTGAAAACGTTTTTTACTTTTTATTGTATTTCCAATACAAAAAATACTATGAACATTCCAATATTTAAAAAATTTATATATACATATGGAAAATATTATAAAAAAAAAATACAAAGTTTGACCTTTGTAACAAAATAATTTTTGAGTTTTAAATTTTTTAATTTAAATATCAAAATTTTTTTATTTTTTTTCAATTTAAATTATCTATCTATTTCTATTAAGTAAAACTGACCCAAAAAAAAAATTAAACATTAAATTTTTTAAATATCAATTTTTTTTTTTATTTTTTTTCAATTTAAATTATCTATCTATTTCTATTAAGTAAAACTGACCCAAAAAAAAAATTAAACATTAAATTTAATAAAAAATAATATTTTATATATTTTATGTACATCTATATTGAGTTTAAGGAATAATGTATACTTTTTCTTTAATTTTATTTACCAGAAATTAGTCAATTATTTAAATTGAAAATAAATTAAAATATTAAAATTAAAATTTATAATATGAAAAAATTTTAAAATTATTTTACTACAATGATCAAACTCTAATTTTTTTTCTTTTTTTTGTGATTTTATATATATATATATATACCTTGGACATTGTAATTAGGGATGGTACTATGGTTATTACACTAAAATGTTGAGGGTTAATTGGGAAAACTAAGAATTAAGGCAATGGGCCAACGAAGAAAATGATCAAAAGTCAAAAAGATTAATGGAAGGGGCCCAAAGCAATGTGCTATTGGCTGAAGCCAGGCAATCTGTAATCAAGGACTAATATCTTGACAGGTGTCAATATCTAAGCTGTACATTTGGCTTTCATCTAGAAGCTCTATCAATGTCACTGTCTTCATGGTGGGTAAGAGGCACTATTAGAGAAGTTATTGGGTGTTATGGTAAATTGATACATGTTGTCCAGTTAAAATTGATTGTTAAAATCCAATTTTATGTTAGATAGTCGAGAGGATTTGTTGATCGGATTATAAAATTAGATTAACATTTTTAAGATTTTAATTTTTATATTTTTGTGTATTTATTAATTTTTATACATGTTGTCCAGTACATTTTTCATATTTTTGTGTATTTATTAATTTTTAAAAATATTTTACTATTTAGATATATTTAAGTAAGGTGTATTTAAAAAAATAAAAATTGTTTAAATTTTAAAAGTATTCACTAAAAATAAAAAAATAAAAAACAATAAAAAACTCAATTTAAAAAAAATTGAATTCAGAAAATTGAAACCAAACACACTGAATATATTTTGATAAAAAGAAGGATGCTACAATTAATTTTACCACCACCATCCATAGCCTTCTTCACCTACTCCTGCCACATTGGCCTCGCATTCTCATTCATGACACAATTCTTCCTCATTCTTCGACAACCTCCATTTCTTTCTATTATTAATTTCTACTGCTCCTTTGTTAAGAGAAATTGTACTTGTGTGAGAAAGAAAAATGATATTACATGAATTAAAATGAGAGCGACATGCATTGCATTTGTATGTGCAAGGGAGTAAAAGAACAAATATATCAAAAAAAGATAGAAGAAGACCGATGGTGTCTAGAGATGAGAAAGAGAGGCTAAGAGTGTCTAGAGAGTAGGAATGGCGGAAAGGTGGAGATGGCATGGTTTGGTTTGAATCTACGATTTTAAAAAATTTATATAACAATAAATATGATACATTTTTACGATAATAAACAAACTAATAGCAATTAGTTTAGTTAAGTTATTTAGGGTTTATTAATTTTACAATCAAAATTAGTGTTCAAATCTTATTAATAACTTCTATATTTTTATTGAAAAATGATATTACATGAATTAAAATGAGAGCGACATGCATTGCATTTGTAGGTGCAAGGGAGTAAAAGAACAAATATGTCAAAAAAAGATAGAAGAAGACCGATGGTGTCTAGAGATGAGAAAGAGAGGCTAAGAGTGTCTAGAAAGTAGGAATGGCGGAAAGGTGGAGATGGCATGGTTTGGTTTGAATCTACGATTTTAAAAAATTTATATAACAATAAATATGATACATTTTTACGATAATAAACAAACTAATAGCAATTAGTTTAGTTAAGTTATTTAGGGTTTATTAATTTTACAATCAAAATTAGTGTTCAAATCTTATTAATAACTTCTATATTTTTATTTTAACATACAAAAATACAAATAAACAAATATAAGTAAGGGCTAGAGTTTGGATTTCAAATGTTAGAAATAAAGATAAATTTAGATTTAAGGTGGGTGTTCAAAAAAATAAATAAATACAAAATACTTACAATTGGGTCCAAAGAAAAAAAAATAAAAATTAGGACCACTCCCCGGCTTTTATTACTTTTGAAAAAACACAGATTCGTTTACAATGGTCCAAACTAGGGATTGTTTGAGAAGCGATTAAATAAGTATACCTAACGTGAATTTCGCAACACAGTTAAAAATTAAAACTTAATTTTTAATTTATTTTGAATCATCTTACTTGTCACACTTTTTATACGTTTTTCAAAAAAAATAAAAAACAAAAAGAGTCAACTTTTTAACTATCTCTCTAAAACACTATTTATTTATTTATTTGTTATAAATTGTCACATTATTTTTAAAACAAAAAGAGTCAACTTTTTAACTATCTCTCTAAAACACTATTTATTTATTTATTTGTTATAAATTGTCACATTATTTTTATTTTTTTGCATATCTTTTTTTATAGAAAATCAAAAAATTACGAATCATATTGTATGGAAAGTTATTTGGTGGCGTTAGGCTACGGTTACTTGATTTTTGGACAAATTACCAACACCCCTTCGAGATTTGATTAAAATACGAATTTTTCATTGAGATTTGGGAAATTACAAATTACACCTTGAGATTTATATTTGCATAACAAATTAAACCTCAGGAAATTTGTCAGATTAAGGGAATTTGTTATGCAAATATAAATCTCATGAGACAATTTGTTATGCATATATAAACCTTAGGATGCGAGATGTAATTCCTCAAATCTCAATAAGGGTGTTGATAATTTGCCCTTAATTTTTTAAGTAAGACTCATAAGTTATAATTTTATATTAAGTACTTGAAAAATAATAAAAAATATAATAATTTATAACAACAATGATTCATTCCACTAAAAACATCACCACTAATAGCACTAATGCATTAAAAAAGTAAAAAAAAAAAAAAAAAAAAAAAACTCCAAGACCAAAACATCACATCATTAATGGCGAGACCCACTGCCACCTAATTAGTGGGAGCACTAATTAGTGCTCCCAAACATTTTTCAATTTATAATTAGTCAGAACGTAACGGCGTGATGGCCTGGAGCATGAAATAATTTTTCATATTATACCTTTTAGTTCTGATTTAGAGCATTAAAATAAAGACAAATTATCACATCAATAATAAAATCTACATGACACTACGTCGTTAATGATATATTACTAGTGTTAAATTTTCTTATACCTTCTTACCTGTTATTTATTTTGTGATGAGACAGATTGATTTGACAACTCAACTAAAGCAATTTAATAATGTTGCCAACTAGGCACCCACAACTATAGTGTTTTTTTTTTTTAAAACAATTTATCAGAATTGTTTATTGGAAATAAAAATCAATATTAAAAAATTATTTTATAAAGGAAAATGATTGGTGGCCCTAAAAAAATTGCCCCTAATACCCCTAATTTCCAATTTTGGAAACTGTTTTTTTTTTCTTTCTTTTTTCCTTTTTTTTTTTTTTTTTTTTTTATACCTAAAATGGACTTTCGGGGCATTCGAGCCCCGAAGTCTCGGGCCCTCAATCAGCGTTGTTTTATAAATTACTATCAATTTGGTGCTCTACAAACATCAAAATTTTAAGAGAAAATATTAAATAAATAATAAAATAATTACAAATCAATAACATAGAAATAGGTGTATATAATTTTTACACCGTTCTCATTTGCACCGAACATATATCTCACTTACACTCACCGAACATATATTTCACTCACACTTCATACATTTATAATTATTTTCTTACTTTCTATTTACCTAATATTCTATCAATTATTTTATATAACAATTTCAAGCAATTTTTAAAATTTTTGAAAAAATATTTAAAGCAAAATTAAAATGACATGAAAGCAATGATTTAGAACTTTTAGGAATGATTTGAAAATTGATTATTTTTAGTTGACTTTTTAATTTTTTTTAAAAAGATATGTAAAAAAATAAAAAGAATGATATGACAATTAAGAACATCTCCATCCAAGCTTTCAAAAGTTGGTGTACCAAATATTTTTGAAAACTTAGAGCAATTCCAATAGCTTGCCATCGGAGTTGCTATTGCCATAATTTGGCAACTCCACTAATACAGTATACTCCAATGGCATTTTATAGCAGTTGCTATATTTGAGAAATGTCAAAGTTTGTGTCAAATTTGACACAAATTTTGACAACTACTATCTGTATCCAACCAATTTATGTGTTTCTTCCTCTGTGCATTTGCTAAAACGGTTTGAGAAGATAAACCTATATCCAAACAGCACCTACAAAATTAAAACAAAAAATGATTGAGATTTGCCAAAATGACCAATGACCATTAGAATACCATTGCTATAATTTCACGATTTGCTACTATTTATTGTCAAATTATATCAATGGCAATGCTATAATAACATTTGTCATTAGAATTGCTCTTAGAAGACAAACTAGCATATGTCAATTTGACATAAAAACTCTCGCCTCATATGTCAAATATATTATTCTATTATTTTTAAAAAAAAATTTATTTTATTGAATAGATTTAACATTTAACATCAATACGGAACATGTAAAAATAATAAAATTATTTTATTGAATAGATTTAGCATTTAACATCAATACGAAACATGTCAAATTTAACTTGTTGAATTCATGTCAAATACCAACTCCGCATTTGACATATAAAGTGTACTAAATTTTTTATGTCAAAATAGAATTGTTAGACAACAACATTAGATTTAACATACCGGATAGTAGCCTTGTCCTAGAGGAGGCCTCAATTATTTTTATTTCTAAGTAATAATTTAAGCACTAAAAAGAAAAACCTATATGAAAAACCAACTTCCACAACTACTCTCATGACCAATAGTACCAGTTTGATCAATATAACTAATTCATAATATCAATCATTACTTTAAGAGATTGTTTGAGATGATCTAAATAAGTGTACTTTTTGACTTTTTATGAAAAAATATGAAATATAGATTGTATTTGAAGTGATATGATAGAGAAATGATGTGATTTAAATAAGATAATGACTTTTTGAATTTTTAAATTTTTTGTATTATGCCAAACTAGGCCTAAATCAAATAAGGCATCAAAATACAAAGCAAGCTAAACATAAATGAAAAACCAACAACTTCCACAACTACTCTCATGAGCAAAAACCCAAGGGGTGGCATGCTGGCAAAATCTTAGGGGCATAAGCATGAGATCGCAAGTTCCACTCTCTCCGGGGTCAATCATCCAAGCAATAACATATATAGTTAGTAAGATGAATCTTCCAGGCCTAGGCGAACCGTACCCAGTGTTGGAGTGTGGGTTCAAATCACTGCTTATGTGTGAGTCTGTGACTTACCGCTACATGGTTGAGTAGCCTTACTATGCAGCAACCACCTAGTGGTAACCTCTGTGGTTAGGCCTTTATTCTCATGAGCAATAGTAACAGTTTGATTAATATAACTAGTTCATAATATCAATCATTACTCTTAATCAAATAAGGCATACAAAATACTAAGCAAGCTAATGTTAACAAGCCTCTCTCTTCTACAAGTACTAAAGACCCTCAAAGTATCTTATATGGTCTTCAAATGTCTCTGCATGACGAATCTTGGCCATGGATCCATCTTCTTCAACCTAAAAACATTAGCACAACTGTTACGCACTTGATTTTCTACCAATAAATTTAATAGCGAAACACACAATTCTACAAGGTAAGTCAAATTGAACTACACTATCTTCCCATGCCATGCAATAAAATTCAGGTGAAAAAACAGACTATATGCTCAAGGATGGAAGAGAAATATCTTCATGAGGAAAACATAGGCAAAATTTTGCATTTGTAATTGGTAAAGCAGTAAATCACCAATTACTATACACTCTTCTGTTCACTAAAAAGAACGTCACATATCATATTCAAAGAACAAAAACTTGTATTTTCCTTCTATTCATGACAGGTATGAGCCACCCTTCAGATAAGGTACTCCACCTTCCTAAAAAGTTACTATCCTTTTGGAGTGTGTGGTGGGTTTGACCCTTGTGAAACATCTATTGGATATTCTCGTAGTGTGAATACACATACGAATACCCTTTCCATGTTGTTCATATTAAAAAAAGGTCACAAGTCAATTTGTATTACTCATAGAAATGCCATCCACTAGATAGGATACGTGGAACCTTTAACAGAACTAAAAAAGTTTCAAAGCAAGTAACTGTTTGCTTCATGTGAGTTCTTTGAATAATCACGCTCTATGCTAGGCTCCCTATGTTAGCTAATAACCAGGAAAACCTAATAAGAACCATTAAAATTCAATTTAAGGAAGGTGTATATCCTCAGCCCCTTCGGTTTTATCCACAACCATCTCTCACAAGGTGGGGCAACCATGTAAGGAGAGCACCGAAAGCAGTCATTTAGGTTTTGGATGTAGTCCCTTAGGCCTAAGCAGGGTTGCACTGTAGGGACATGTAGTCTCCAGAGTGTTAGTCTGCAAGCAGACACTCATCATCATCCCAATGTTAAAATGCCTTCAATCTAGGTGTCCAGTCTTTGAAACCAACTGTAGTTAAAGGACCGTCAACCAACCAGACCATACCACTTAGAAAGACGGTGACGACAGTTGTCACAAATCAACCCTACTTCCTAGATTGGTCCCACTTCAATGTTTGCACCACTGTCAAACGGAGACAACACGCGTTCACAAATTATTTATGCATAAAGAAGTTTGATAGTAAAGTCTGGTCTGATAGTTGAAGTTATTGTTAACCAATTGGGGCAAGCATGTAAGAGGGAGGGCACTAGAAGCAGCCATTTAGGCTGTGATGTAATCCCATACTCAATTTATTAATGGAAAAAGGGCAAAATCTTATTGGATCAGATTTGAAACAAAATGACAATAGGTTAAGGCTAGACAGAGTTAAAACTACACACCCAGTACTCAGGTGGGCGATCTTGAGATTGTAAGTTGATGCCATGCTCATGCAATAAGCCCCTGCGTCATGAACTACCAAGCCAGCTCCCTGAAAAGTAAATCTCCTGATCAGCAAAAGCGTCAAAAACAGAAACTCATTGGTCAGGCCATTCCCCATTGAGACCAACAATTAAGATAAGCACCAACAATCAGTGACCTGCAAAAATGTAAGAGGAATTTCCTTGAACCTAATTGACAGCAAAACCCCCAACTTTTAGTTAAAAAAAATAACACTTAATTGACTTACTGTTTAGCATCCAACAGACATATCAATGTCCATAAAAGCCGTCTCAGAACAAAATGAACATGGAAATGTGTTGTTAATCAATTTGGCAAACCATCGTCATTTGTGTCAATGAAACCAACATCACAACAAACGCAACAAAAGAAGAGTCTCCTAGCAATAGAGTGGGTTACAAATTAACGAGTTGCATTATTTTTCTGTTCTTTACAAAAATAGAAAAACTTCAGACACCGTAGAGTGTACAAGATTAGCAAAATATGCCAACATTCTTCCAGTTGATAGCTCCTTACATATGTTTTCCAAGTACTCAATAAGGAAGGAGACAGCGACAATCAGGGACAAAATAGAAAACTTGGAAACTAAGGGCCTATTTGGCAACATTTTTGTTTTCACAAATTTTGAAAATTGAAAACAAAAATACATTTGGCTTTACTATTTTCATTTTCAAAGAAATAGCAACAGTTTGCCAAATTTAAGAAATTTAAAAAAAAAAAAAAAAAAAAAAAAAAAAAAAACCCTTTCCGGCAACTCACCAAACATGTTTTCTTGTTTTTGTTTTCATAAATTTTGAAAACATGTGTGTACCAAACATTTGTGTTTTTTTTCTTCTTTTTTTTCCATATATATAAAACAAAAAACTGACAACATTACGAAACGCTACCCAAGTGTTTAGTTGTTTGCCATTGGCTTGAGTCAAAGGACTACAAAATCTTCTGATTAGTGGGCCTTAAGGTTCATGACCACCATGCAGGCAACATTTTTTTTCCTTGAGAAGAGAGATGGATGCAGGAGAATCACAGATTGAAGTTAGCATATTTAAAAAGGGTAGCAGATTATGACTTACTTGATAAGCATCATAAAGACTCGGGCGGATAAGCTCTGCCATGCTACCATCAATCACAATAAAATTTTTTGTTCCATTAGTTTTGACCCCAGTGACACGATTAACCAGGCAACAAGTATTTGCAATTAGTGATCTCCCAGGTTCAATGATGAGATTGAGATCTCGTGACAAGACTAGCTCCCGTACCTAAAACAAACACCCAGGAAGAAAATTTGATTGAAGCTTTATATAATCAGAAGCAAAATTTCTGCCGAGTTTCTTTAATAATGGACTGTAAGGCTATTTGTACAAGCATCTTTTCAATACTGAATGTAACCATGAGAAACACAGAAATTCCAGACTTAAAACAGAGACATGTATTCATCCATGTATGTACACTCCAACCCTACATAACGAAAGTGAACCGAAGATACCATAAGTTCTAGGAAAACACAATCCACACCAATTGGGAGGCTCTTACCTGCCTACATGTCAAGGTTAATAATTTAAGATAGCACCCCCTTTGCCATCCTTGTGCATTTGCAAAGAAGAGAAGAGAAGGAAAGGCAAGAGATATTCTTTCTCATTTTTTGTGGAGAATCAGTGAACAAATACTTTATCCCTGAATTAGATCACCAGCATACCAAAATTAATGGTCTCCCCTTCTGAATATATGAGAACCATTTGTTTTTTGGATGTCGGGATATGGTATAGGTCAAAAAGAAGAGGAAGGTAGGTAATGAGAAACTGCTTGCACAGTGATGATGATGGTAACAATTGATCATTTGATTCTTAGAAAGGTGTTTGGCCATTCAAATAATTTATCAACGTGCTCAATCAGGGGATCTTCAATCTATGTCCAGGTTTAGAATGTGGCTCTAACGTCTTAAGTAGAGTATTGGTTTGAGGATAGAAGTCACTTGGCATTTAGTTAGGTCAAGGAGAACTCTACAAGACTACAACAAAAAAAGCACAGAATGAAAATAGATGTGCACTGAGAACTGCCGATTATTCGCTCTAGTTAAATATCTTCTTAACACGCTTTACCATATCGATAATAAAATCCTCCAAGCTCACATGAAATGCATAGGTACTATATGCCTAGACTAGAAAATCGTCCTTACAGTGTCAATCAGATCTCTGGGAGAAGGAAGGACAGCACCAGTGTGATAATAATCAATCCCCAGCCCGCCTCCAATGTTTAAATAGTCAATTTTGAATCCTTGGGCTCGAATTTGGTCAATGTAATTCACCATAAGGACTGCAGCATCCCGGAAAATGTCAACCTAAAAATAATAATGAGACGATTAGATTTATAGAAAACAGAAAATAATTTTATGCATCATTAGACAATGATAAAGATGGAGATAAACATGAGTACAATGGGGATCAAAATTAGAATAATGTTAATGAAAGGATGAGAAAGAGAAAGAAAGATATACAAATAGAGAGAGAGAGAGAGAGAGAGAGAGAGAGAGAGAGAGAGAGAGAGAGAATCACTGAGATATAAAGATGAATGAAATCAAGGAAAATGATGAAAAAAATTGAATACAAAAAAGAAATTAGTAGAAGCAAAAATGAAAGGTGAATCAAGTAGTAGAAGGAAATCAATGAATGGACACCAAGTTAGTAGTTAAATTGAACTTTGAACATTGGATAAATTATTATATAGATGAGTAATTTCCCAGAATCAGCATTATAAAGCTTGTCAAGAAATGCATTGGGAGGGATACTGAGTCATCAAAAAAAAAAAGCATAAATATAATACAGAGATCCACAAGCACTATAAATTCTTCTGCAACATAACAAAAATATTACTTAAAAATCATCTTATTCCATTGTTACTTCACATATGAATCTGTTTTATAAGCATATAGTGCCTTTGTTTCAGCCATACCAAATGTAAAATGGGAAGATTATTTTCCACCACTGCCAATGGAAAGTAAATCAACATTCATATAACATCAGCATAGTTGGATTAACCAACAAAAATAACCCAAGAATAAAGCACATAATACATTTTTATGCAATTAAGGCCATAACATGTACAATGTTGTTTAAACTTTTAGGACACAAATTATGCTTGCAAGGTACCTTAGTGATGGTTGAACCAAGATGGCAATGGGCCCCCACAAGCTTCAGTTCATTAGGATATGCCTTCACAGCATCTAGAAACCATTGCAGCTTCTCATTTCTAATGCCAAATTTGGAGTTCTTATTACCAGTGGCAACATAAGGATGGACCTAAGGGAACATTAACCACAAACAGTTTTTAGAGAGATTGATAATTGCACGTCATAGTGTTTTTACCAAACAACATTTCTTCTGTTCCAAAAAGACTAGCTTATGTATTTAAATTCATCCAAGTCTTAAACTAACTAGGCAAGTATCAATTGAGTTTCTCCCGATTGCTTACTCTAATGAATACACTACTACCAAATCCAGCACTTACAAATTACATCTTTGTAGCCACATTACCTGAGGGTCCACATCTGGATTAATCCTAAGCAGTAAATTAACCTTCTTCCCAGCAATTCTTGCCGCTGATACAATATTGTCCAAATCAAATTCACTATCAACATTGACAAAAACACCTTCTTGAGCAGCTAGCACCAGTTCCTCTAACAACTTTCGATTCCCATTAAAGATAAACTCCATAGGATAATCAAATAACAGGAGAATTGAGAATCACATTCACAGTCACACTTACACTCACAATCACAGTCAAAGCGTCATGTTTATAAGCATAGATTGCAAGGCTAAATTAGTTCAGTGAAGTATGCGAAAAAAGAAACTTCTACTTTTTTTCAGTAAAATAAATTCATTGATAATAGATTGCAAGGTGAAACTAGTTCATGACGATAATGTGAAAAATGACCTAAGCTGTCCTTTTCTTTTATTTAGCATGTTAAATGAAGTACTGTGCTGGCAATTTTTGTAAAGAAAATGTTCAATTGTAATATTCTTCACACGAACATAAGTAGTGAAAGAATAGCGAATGTTGTTTTCCACCAACGGGAAAGATGAGTACCATGGCAGGAAGACAGACATATCAACAGCAGGGATGAAAGTGTCACATTCAATGTTAGTCTCAATTTCTGTAATGTGGATGGCATCACAACCAGGAGCATTGAGGGCTTCCCTGCATTAGAAAGATTAATGAGCTAAAAACAATGGGGCGGAAAAGGAAAGAAAGATAGAAAAGAAAAGGTCCACAAAAAACAACAAACTGCACACCTCAAAATCTGACCACCTCCGATAACAAACACTTTCTCAATTGATAGACAATAAGGAGATGCTGCCAATAACTCCAAAGCAGAACCAATGCTTCCACAAATCACAACATTCTCAGCAGTTGCAATATCAAAACTCCCAGAACGAGTCAGAACAACATTAAGGCGACCAGGCAGAGGCCGATGCTCCAGCGGAATGCTCTCCCAGGTTTTTCTACCCATAATGACTGCATTCTTTTTTACAGGATCTGATGTAGTCAAAGTAACATCCTTGAAAATTTTGAGATCAGAAGGCAATTTCCAGGGTAATTTCCCATCCTTACCAATACCCATATTTTGAGTTGCAGCCACAACAACTTGGTAAGTCCTCTGTGGATCAGGAATTGTATTGAGAATGCCATTAGGAACATTCACGAGGGAATCACCAGCCATTGTGGAATTAAAAACCTGGAAGAAAATTGAAAATGATGACTCACGACCGATATTACGCGACCAACTTTTGTGGAAGCGCAGTAGAACCTGATATATACAAACAAGTAAAAAAATCATAAATTTTATCATCAGTCTTAGTGGGATTCAACAAGAAACCAACATGTAAAATGATGTCAGGGACATGGTATACTCTATGAGAAAACAATCACAACCTGATAACAATACACAATACACAACACACTCAACAAATAAAGTTGAGAATACACCAATATCCTTCAATGTACTCATATGTTACATGGACTCGGATATGAATATCGGGTGCGGATGTGTATTCAAGTGTCAAACCTTCATAAATTTAAATCTTAGGATCTTGGAATACATATCCACAATTAGATATGGGTACGGGGAAATATTTTTAGATGAGATATTGTAAATTATGTACAAATATACTAGAAATTAAATAGGATTTAGGAAAAATATAGGCTGTGTTTGGAACGATTTCCAAACTATAATTCTACCCACACATTCTAATATGATGTTTGGATAGGATGTTCAAACTATGTTTCCACAACATTTAAAAAATTCCGCAGAAAAATCTGTGTGAGACGCAATTTTCAAATTTTAATTTTTTTGAAATTTGGCCTAACCGGTCGTCCAACCAGTTGACCGGAAAAGTGTAATTTTTTTTTTTTTTTTTTGCAATTGACACATGTTAATTTTTATATATTCAAAAAAAAATATTTTCCGAATTTAAAAAAAAAAATTTTGTGAGCTTTAATAGAATTTTGAGTTGTAAGCTTTTGTATCAAATATCACATGTCACATCAAAAATCCCCCACTCAATGCAAAACTCTTTTCAAAACTCATTTATCAACAGTTGACCAGAAAAGTGTAATTTTTTTTTTTTTTTTTTGCAATTGACACATTTTAATTTTTTTTTTTTCAAAAAAAAAATTTTTCGAATTTAAAAAAAAAAATTGTGAGCTTTAATAGAATTTTGAGTTGTAAGCTTTTGTATCAAATATCACATGTCACATCAAAAATTCCCCACTCAATGCAAAACTCTTTTCAAAACTCATTCATCAAACAAATTTTCCACACTCAAATCATAATTTCAAAACTCACAAACTCAAAATACAACTCCTATTCTCAAAACATATTTAGAAAACTCTACCAAACACTACCATAAAATTTCTATATCTAACTCATGTGAGAGGCTACAAATATTACTTTTATAACAAATGTAAGTTTCTTATTCTTCATGTATTGTGACGTATTAAAAAATTTGAGTGTCTAAATTGGGCATAAGTGTCAGACACATATCCCACACTCTTACCCATATCATATCCGGTGGACACGGATACTGTAGAGGAAATATAAAAGTCCATGTAACATCAGTGATGCTCAATCACAACCTGATATGGCCTAACAAACTAATACACAGCACCAGATACAATTTTAGAAAGATGAAGCAAACCTAAGAAGACCCGCATTAAAACCATCAAGTGACCACCAAAGACTACAAAAACTTATTATCACATATTACTCCATAACGTATTCTATGTGCCAAGATGTTGCTTTTTTTTTCTTTTTTTGGATCAGCAATGTGCCAAGATAGCATCTCACACATTCCATTATAATCAACAACAAAACCATTAATACAGAAGAAATATTGAATTTGCCAAAATTGTAACAATGTGCAAATTACAAGCGCACAGAGAGAGAGAGAGAGAGAGAGAGAGAGCACTACAAAAATGTAGAGTAATCATTAGCCCAAATCAACTTAAAGCTGAAAAAAAAAAAATATTGCCAATTATAAGAGATTGTGGTCAAGGCAGGAAGAACCCAAAATCAAATTTTACAGCCAACATGGTATGAATGTATACAAAAACTTAAACCAAAGAAAGTCACAAATGGGAGGTCAGGTAGAACACACTCCTTATAACCAGTGATCATTCTTCTATTGGGTCTTTCACTTGCAAAAAAAGGTTGCCAATCTTAATAGGGGTGGCATTGGCACTCTCAAATGAAAATTCTTTGTTTCCCCTTTTTTTTCAATCACACCCCAACACAAACCCACCTTAAACACAGTATTTGGAGGCAAACTGAAACAATGAGTTCCTAAGGAAAGACCTAAAATCATCTATGACTAAGAAATTGCTCCTTCTAGGGTCAGATTCTTCGGATTTCTCTTCTTGATGTTCAACCAAAAACCACAAAACCCAGAACAAGTACACATGCAATGCTTAAATACATACAAAGCTAAACCCAAATCAGTGATAGAAATTAATTGAACAAAAGACTAGGTAAGAGATGCGAAGAACAGAAAATAAATACAAACATTCAAAATTTCAAAAGATATCGAAATGGGGTAAAAAAAATTACCGATCGGAGAGGGAAAAGCGTGGCGTACGAAATCTTGGAGCGTTTTCGAAGGCAAAATTTGGAGATATCGGATTGAGTAGAGAGAATTGGGGAAGAAATTAGGGTTTGGATAGAAGTGTGAGTGGTTCAGTCCTTGAGCATTTGTGAGTTTGGAGTCGAAGAAAAGGACTGTGTAGCGTAAAAGCCGCTTCAATCCCTACCCTCTCTCTTCAAATGGAGAGAGAGAGAGAGAGAGAGGGCGAAGAAAACAAAAACGCGGAGTATCGCCAAGGTGAGTGTTGAAATACTGAAATGCCCTTGGTTGGTTCTGGATTTACCAACCCAACAAACAAACAAACAAAATTTAAAGCATGTTTGGTTTGTCTTTCAAATTATGTTTTTGAAGAAATTTTTTTTAAAATATGTTTAGGGATGGCAATGAATAATCGATTCTATGGGTATCTATGAAGACCCAACTTAAATACATAATTTTTTTTTTTTTTCTTATCCATTGGGTAGAGTAAGTAATATTCTTTAAATATCCATAGGGGATGGGTTAGGGATGGGTACCCACTAATTTCCCCATGTGTTTTTTTTTTTTTTTACAACCAAAAACTCCGCCGGGGTTATTAACAACTCCGCCGGTCCCAAGCCCGGGTTAAGGAAGAGGGTTGTGTGTTAGGTAGCCGACAGCCAACACGTAAAAAAGTCACTCGGAACCCTTATGAAAATGAATCCTACTTTGAATCGTTTAAATGCTAGGTCGTTCCCCTCAAGTGACGCGTTGCGCCTGCCTCCGGGTGTTTCGAAAAGTGAGCAAGGGGCGCCGCATCGACGCCTTGGTGCGGTGAAAAATGGGCAAAGGTTTCCGCGTTTTTCTGGACGAGCGCGGGTAAAGAAGCTAGTCCAAGACTATAGGTTTAGGATAGCCACTTGGAACATAGGAACCTTAACTAGTAGGACGATGGAATTGGTAGATGTTATGATTAGGAGGAGAGTTAGTATAGCTTGCATACAAGAAACTAAGTGGACGGGAGAGAAAGCTAGGGAAATTGAGGATACTGGTTTTAAACTTTATTATAGTGGTAAGGATAGATGCAGGAATGGGGTAGGAATCATAATTGCCAAGGGTCTTGTGGAAAGTGTGGTGGCGGTCACTAGGAAAGGAGATAGGATTATGCTAGTTAAACTAGTTATTGGAGGGAATATAGTGAACATTATTAGCGCTTACGTCCCTCAAGTAGGGTTAGATGATCAGACTAAGAGGGATTTTTGGGAGCAAATGGATGAGATCTTACAGGAGATACCCGTAGGAGAGAACCTGGTTATAGGTGGAGATTCTAATGGCCATGTGGGCATAGAAAAAGTAGGTTATGAAGGGTGCATGGTGGATACGGTTTTGGCGACAAAAATGAGGCTGGAGAGAGAATCTTAGATTTTGCGTTGGCTTCTAACTTGGTGGTGGCTAATACTATGTATAAGAAGAGGGAGGAGCATTTGATAACCATTAAGAGTGGATTAGTTAAGAGCCAAATAGATTATTTCTTAATGAGAAAAGTGGACTGCCTAAAATGCAATAA